AAAATTCAGAAAACATTGATTTACTTAAATTATTCAATACTTTACTGTATGGCTTTTATGTCATTTAACATTTTAGACAAATCAATACAATTTTTTTTAATTGCCTGTCACATACCTAAGATATCACAAATGTGTTTTGCTGGAATCGTTAATTTGCACTATGTTGATGACAGTTTTATAAATCAACTACTTTAAAACAATTAAGTAGCATCTGTGGGGGGAAAAGTATTAGGGTATGAAATGACTAAACTAGTTGGAATATATAACACTGAAGAATCCTTTGTTAAGGTTATAATAATTACATTTCTTGAATATCTAAAAGGTATACATACTGCTATCTTCTGTGGACATTGCATATGAATTTTTTCTTTAAATACTACATAAGTATAATGGATGAGATGGTAGATAAACTCAATGCACTGTTTTCTATTTTAAGAAATGTGCTGTAGTGAATTTAACCTGCATGGTAGAGGAATAATTGTAATTGTGAAGAAAGATATACTTCAAATGACAGTTTGCTATTTTTGTATAAGAGACCAAAGAAGCTGATATTTTAAATGGTGAAATGAACATATGCAGCAAGATGATTATCTAAATGTGTTATGTGAACTTGTTGTTCTTTATCTGAGAATTTTGGAAAGAATTACTGTGAGTGTTGGGCTCTTTCTTCTACCTAGAAAATAAGGCATATATGGGCAAAGATTTATACCTGTTTTACTTATTTGCTACATATGTAATACTTTTGACATTCCTCACATATAATAGGTAATCAGTAAATATTTGTTGAATAAGCAATGAATTAAAAAGCATAATTTTTTTGTTTTATTTAATTGGGGTTCTTACACAAACCACTTGAGGAACCTACACTTGTATCTTACTAATATCTTAAATAATTATTGACTTAAATAAAATATATGCAACATAAAGATAAATGTCAAGTTTAAGTGGACACTGTGACTATATTGCATTGAACTAAGAGTACGTGCATACTAAGCTGCTCTATTGTGTCTGACTCTTTGCAACTGTATGGGCTATAGCCCGCCAGGCTCCTCTATACATGGGATTCTCCAGGCAAGAACACTGGAGTGGGTTGCCATGACCTCCTCCAGGGGATCTTCCCAACTCAGGGATTGAAACCACATCTCTTACGTTTCAGAAGAATATTGGCAGAGGGGTCTTTAACCACTTGTGCCACCTGGGAAGTCCTGAGCTTAGAGTAATTATTGCTAAATTATCACCTGTATATTATAGAATAACAGGAAATATATATGTATACAGCAGAGCACTAGGAACAAAATAACTCACTGAAAGTCATAGTAGCCGGAAGTTAACATGATAAACACCATTGGTGTTTTGGAGAATCATTTTATGTATATATATGAGTTACTGTGATCCAGTGACTTTCCTGTCAGTTCTAATATTATCAAGTAGTAGAATATGTTTATTATGACTTAGTTTAAGAACAAGAATATTGTGTTGTCAAAGGGTTTATACTATATGAGTGAGCGTGCTGTTATAAATACCACAGTTATTTACTTACTGATTTTTATGCTATGTATAAGGCTTCTACTATGATCCAGAAACAGTTGTATATAATTTCCTGAAGAACTTTACATCTGGGAAAGGAAAATACAAATGAACTTTAAAACCAAAGTGTGTTGAAAGTCATAAACTACAGGAAGAAAGTAGAGTAGGAATATAAATTATCTCAATGCTCCTAAAACCATATACAGTAAAGGACTATTTCCCCCAATGTGTCATAAGCAAATACTTTTGAAAAATCCAAAAAAAAAAAAAAAAGAAATTCTAAACAATGAACATAAAATATATAAAACATGTCATGTTACAATTATTAGATTTAGCAGAGATAAAAGTATATTTCAATAGGTACATCAAAATAAGTGTGGCATAAAAAATAGTTAACAAAAAAAGTACCTGTTGATCACTGAAAATGAGCACACTGAAGGTATGTTAAAATCAACTTATGAATGGCCTTGTCAATCATTTCAATTACATTCAGTAAGAAAATCTTCAGAGGAAAGTGACCTAATTTGGACAGAACAACCATCATCACACTGCTTAAATGCATTATGATCAGTAGATATACCCTGAAGCTTCTCCACTCTCTGATATATTTCTAGATTACATATAAAATGGTGGCATTCTGCTAATCATGTTTTGCAAGAAATACTAGTTTAATAATAAATTTTAATAAAATATATTTTAAAATTTTATCATTTAACATTATTAAAGAGGAAATTGAAATGTGTATTTTAGCCCCAGTTTGGAGATGGTGACACAAGCTTCTCTAAAATTTTTTTCCTGAAAAGATATAATTATTCTGTGCAATATTATTAAACTAAATAGTAATATTGTTAAACCAAATGGTAATATTGGAAGAACTCTGAAAATATCTGTTCTGGCTTCATTAGTATAGAGGTCAGTTTTCTTGCTAAAACTTGCTAGAGCATTAAAATATAAAGTTATTTGCAGAGATTTACTGGCTAGTGACCTGGGTTCAATCTCTGGGTCGGGAAGATCTCCTGGAGAAGGAAATGGCAATCCACTCCAGTATTCTTGCCTGGAAAACTCCATGGACAGAGGAACCTGGTAGGCTACATTCCATGGGGTTGCAAAGAGTCGAACAGGACTGAGCAACTTCACTTTCTTTCTTTCTTTCTTCTGGCTGGTGAAGCAATGAAAGCATCCAAACTTAATCAGCATTTACACCTAAAATATTAAACAAAATAAATTAACAATAAGAGGATTATTGAAAGACTTGAATAAAAAAGTTGACAGAAGCAGTTGTATAATACTTTACATACAAACAGAGTTTTGCAGTGCTTTGTTCTTGTAAAGTAGCACTTTGATTTTCACAGACCAACATATTAACATGTAAACATATATATACCTTTGCCCTGACATTTGTGAAAAACAATACTGAGCATGATGATTAGAAGTGTCAGGTGAATCTGCTGTAAGAAGGAAGTTCATGAGATACTTTGCAATGGCACTATACCTGGGCATAGTCAGGAGATGGACAAAAATATGAAAGAACAATTTTGAGCAAGTAAAGCCAGTAAAATGTCTGTTAAATTGTAACTTAAATGTACACATGTTGTGAATATAGGTATTTGTCTTCATTACTTTGGGCTTCCCTGGTGATTCAGCAGTAAATAATCCACCTGCAATGCAGGAGACTCAGGTTTGATCTCTGGGTGGGGAAGATCCCCTGGAGTAGTAAATGGCTACCTACTCCAGTATTCTTGCCTGGAAAACCCCATGAAGAGAGGAGCCTGGTAGGCTATAGTCCACGAGGTCAAAAAAGGGTCAGACAGGACGTAGCCACTGAACAACAACAAAAAATTCATTATTTTACCATAATGGTGATATGAAGTAAGAAGTCTTTTTTAATTTTTTAAAAAATCCATTGCCAGCAAACACAGCTATCAGTGAGCTGTATAACTAAGAGGGGTGAGATGTGAACTGGACTTTCAGTTATGTGTAAGGATATGTTTTAATGGTAGTAGCTTGTACCAAATTAAGACTATCAATACCAACATGTAAATCAAACACTACTTTCTTATTAATAAGAAAGATGTGGCATGAAAAAAATGAGTCACATAAACTAAATATGTTGTCACAGTATTAAAATCAATTTTTCTCCTATTAGGTAATAATATAAAACTGATTTTAAACAAATGTTAATTCAAATTAAAGTATGATGTTTTTCAAGGGAAAAAGTCCAGTTGTGAGTTTTCAAGTACAGAACAAACTTGGGTATTTCTGAAAAATCCAGTTTGATCCCAACTCTTTAAATATGTAAATTCGACATTCAGACTTGCTAATCTGCCTCATATCTTTGGTATTTTTTAATGATTTTAATCCTTCCATACACAGAAAGAAGGTACAGCCTTTTTACCATGGCAGATGAGATCCAAGGGTACAAAGGAAAATTAGAAATTTGGAAGAAAAACATTCCTAGGAATTGTTAGGACATATTTCATAATTTAATGACACTTAGCAATGAAATAGGTTATAATCTTAGTTGAAAGGCATCATTAATTAGATTCACCAATAAGACAAGTTATGTGGAAACATGTCAGAGAATGGAGAAATTTCAGGATATATCCGCTCATCATAATGCATTCGAATTTTGTGCTATAATTGTCATTCTATAGAGAAAGCAAAGCTGTATTTGGTAATGATAGCTACTCAAAATATTGTCTTCCTGATTTCTAAATCATTCTGGCTATACAGATATCCTATAGGCATATTCTTTAATATTTTATACATTGTTTAATTTAATTTATTGGGTATATACTAGAAATGTTGTTGTTTTTATCATGTCTTTACAGTTTTTGCCTTACTAATACAGTTCTTTCCCATTACATGTCATGTATTGTTACACTTGTTCCCACTGCACACAATTTGTTCATTCCTCTACCCAGAGTTCTCCACAACTCTTTGCTGTTGTGGAAAAGAAAAAAAAGCAAAAGGCTGTTGCTTTGGCCCTCCTGAGTCTCAAGGAATGGGGGGAAAAGCCGGTGTTTTGATGTCATGAATTATGGGGAAATAGGGGAGGGAGGTGCTGGGTAGGATACAGGTCAGTTGGAAAAACTGGCAGATACCAGATGGTGGCTCTGGGTGTCCTTTGAGTTGTAATCACTCCAGTATGGTGGTTGGGGGGTCCCCACTGCTGATGGGGGCTGAGGTCTCTGGGGCTGTGGACTGCCTGGGTCCTGGGTGCTGCTGCTGTCTCCACTGGAAGTAGGGACGGGTTCGTGGGTGCCGGGGCTCAGGTTGGGAGCCGTCAGTGGGGCCTTAGCTGGGCTTGGTCTTGCCATCCCCACCTTCTGTGGTGGGCTGCTGGGGTAGCCTGGGGTGGAAAGGCCTTCGGTACCTGGGCTGGAATCTGGGTGGGGGTATCCGCTCATCCCCCTGCTGCTGGTCTCCCTCCAATGGGGCTGTCTTTTTGGGTTCTACCCCATCTCTGCCCTCTATGGGCTGCTGCTGGTTGAGGGGCCGAGGGCCTCGCATGAAGCGCCGTAGGTAGAAGAAGGGTGGTGGGCGCCGTCGTCTGGGCCGCTGCCTGGAATCTTTGGCACACTCCCCTTCGCTGCCTGGCTCTGTTCCGCCCGATGGAGCCTCTGCCACCATGGGTGGCGGGGCAGCTGGGCGGGGCCGGGGGATGAATCTGCGGAATCTGCGGTTGGGGGCATAGCGGCTGCCCTTCACTGGCACCCCCCAGGCCCAGTTACGTTAGCAGCTTCTGCGCCCTTCTCTCCTTCCACGACGGTCTCCCCATCCCCAACGCTGTGCAGAAACTTCCTGGGGTTGTTTCTCTTAATAGCGGTCTGGTGAACAAAGACATCCTCCTTGGTGTCATTCCTGTTGATGAATCCGTAACCATTGGGCACGTTGAACCATTTGACAGTGCCCAGGACTTGGATTGCTTTTCCACCGGAGATCAGTTTCAGGATCACTGTTTATATTTTACATATTAGGTCAAGTGTTTCCTTATTGAGGCATAATTAAAATTAAGTGAATTCTATTTTCATCCCCCAAACATCCTACCGTGTATCTCTTTGTAGCACTTATTCCAATTTCAAATTATATATCTATAATGTATTATTTATAGTCATCAATAAATTTAGGGATCATGTCTCATTCATCATTATCTATCCAGTTTTTGACATGCTGGTGAAACACAGGCAGTCTTTAATGATTACATGTTTAATGAGTATTTGAATATTATTACCAGTAATTACATATATCAAATATATAACTAAATGCTTTTCAGAATTTCCATGGAGCACACCTTTCTCAGTCTCTCAACTAGATGATTTAAATAGTTTTGTTACTGTGTTTCTGTTTGCATTTGATCCTCTGGAATCAATTTTGCTTGCAACAAAGTTCTCTTTTAAAAAAGAAAGCCAAATTAATTTACTTTCCTCTGAAAAATTTCATATTAGAGGTAATTGAAAGGATTGATAAGGCCATTGAGAAGTTGATCACAGTCTAATTCTCAGAAATAATTTATTGAAACCTTTCTTCAGGCTCACTATTTCATGAATACTTGTTTTCTAGCATTTTCTTATACACACCAAAGTTTATTCCTTTGTAGAAGAAGTAACGGATAGTTCAGGCCAAACTGATGGAAAAAATAACATCCCATGATTCACATCAAACAGAAATTAATTTCTCTCTCATGTAACAGATTCAGTTCAGCTCAGATCAGTCTCTCTGTCCTGCCCGACTCTTTGTGACCCCATGGTCTGCAGCACGCTAGGCCTCCCTGTCCATGGCCAACTCCCGGAGTTTACTCTGAGTCCATTGAGTCGGTGATGCCATCCAGCCATCTCATCTTCTGTCATCACTTCTCCTCCTGCCTTAAATCTTTCCCAGCATCAGGGTCTTTTCAAATGTGTCAGCTCTTCCCATCAGGTACCCAAAGTATTGGAGTTTCAGCTTCAGCATCAGTCCTTCCAGTGAACACCCAGGACTGATCTCCTTTAGGTTGGACTGGTGTGATCTCCTTGAAGTCCAAGGGATTCTCAAAAGTCTTCTCCAATACCACAGTTCAAAAGCATCAGTTCTTCAGCACTCAACTTTCTTTATAGTCCAAATCTCACATCCATACATGACTACTGGAAAAACCATAACTTTGATTAGATGGACCTTTGTTGGCAAAGTAATGCCTCTGCTTTTTATTATGCTAAGTTGGTTATACTGTTCTTCCAAGGAGCAAGTGTCTTTTAATTTCATGGCTGCAGTCACCATCTGCAGTGATTTTGGAGCCCCCCTAAATAAAGTCTATCACTGTTTCTACTGTTTCCCCATCTATTTCCAATGAAATGATGGGACCAGATGCCATGATCTTAGTTTTCTGAATGTTGAGTTTTAAGCCAACTTTTTCACTCTCCTCTTTCACTTTAATTAAGAGGCTCTTTAGTTCTTCTTCGCTTTCTGCCATAAGGGTGATGTCATCCGCATATCTGAGGTTATTGATATTTCTCCTAACCTTGATTCCAGCTTGTTCTTCATCCAGCCCAGTGTTTCTCATGATGTACTGTGCATATAAGTTAAATAAGCAAGGTGACAGTATAAAGCTTTGAAATATTCCTTTCCCTGTTTGGAACCAGTCTGTTGTTCCATGTAACAGATTAGGGTAGGCAAAGGATCCCTCCAGCTTGCTAATCTCATAGCTTCTTAGAGATTTGTCTTTGTTTGCATTGATTAAACTAGCTATCAGCATCACTTACAAGTTTCAACCCACAGGAATAAGAAATCAGAGACCATGTCCTTACAGATCATGACCTATGAATTAAGCCTATATCCATTCATAGTCCATAGATGCTCATTTCACAGGGTCTCCTGTAATAGTGTGGGAAATGTGGATATGTGTCCTGCTTAAACTTAGAGTAAGAAGGTTTTTTTTTTTTTTTTTTAATTAAATGAAGGAGAAAAAGAATTCTAGGGAAAAGTATCTGGCTTGGTTACAAGGTCATAGCATTTGTTATTTCCTTTGATTGAAATGGTTGGACTCCAGATTTTAAAATACTTAGTTCCAAGTTACCCATTCAGGTTTCAACTAATATGAATCTCTTTAGATAAATTTAGCAACAAAGTGTACATGATCTCCATCGTTACTCATAGTTTTTTCATAGCACTCATCACTACCTGAAAATACCTTGTCCAATTCTTAGTTTGCTTTTCTATTTCTGTGTTTAAGTGTCCTGTTCTATTTGTTTTTCTATCACAATAAATATAAGTGAGTTCCTTGAGAACAGGAATTTTGTCTGTGTAATGCTCTATATCTATGTTTGCTGCATTTAGAAGAAACTTGTTGCATAATTCTCAAAAAATGATGGAATGAGTTAGTAAAATAACAATTTTATGACATATGAACAAATATTCATTTTTCTCTTTCATGTTTGCATTAGACAGAGATGTATATAATAGTAGTTAAATAAGTAATATGGTATGCTGATATAACACATAGAATCAGAAGCAATTCAGTCTATGCTTTAAATATATTTTCATTTTCATGTACACATTAATCATAAGCAGTTCTTTAATAAAGAAACATAATTCATAGCAACATATTCTCTTAACACTATACCTCAACTTATTTCTATGTGGTATGAAAAATTATCTAAGAACTTCTACCTAAATATTTCTCCCACACAGTCACATGATTACTGTATAACATGCATTTCCATTACCAATAGCACAGCTATTGTATAAACAAACATATCAACATCTATTAAAGTGCATTTAAATAAAGGTAGTGATGGCTATCATAGAACAACTGAAATTTAGGCTAAGGATGCTGCATATATGGTGTGACTTTTTAGTAGTTTTTGAAGGAGAAACACATTGTATATAGAAGAAAAGCACTTTAGAAAATAGAATAGTACTTGTAATTTCTGGAAGTACAAATGAACTGCCTAATGTGGCTTTGGATGATCAAGAAGAATCAGTTGTTGATGGGCTTGAAAACATTTTTCTTTGAAATATCTTTTTCAAAAGCACAGCTACTTTTGTTCTATCAACTTCGCAATTTACAAAGTCTAGACTTTGATCCTAAAATATGATATTTCATCACTAGTATCACCCTGTGTTTCTGGTTAACTCTTTTAATTTTTTTGTTTGTCAAGGGCAAACTGAACATTAATTAATTTGATTTGTGTTAACATTATCTCTAAATAATTGGATTTGTTATGATCCCATTACCAGATTCCCTTACATAAGACAATCTCATTAACAGAGGCCTGAGATGTCACTTTAGATCCATTTGGTAACAGAGATACAGACATAAACTCATTATATGATGCATTCTCCATTCTTAAACTGATGAGGTTTGCTCTTGTTGTTTGAAAGCAATATGCCTGTAATCCAGTATTTCTGGAGAGGATAAAGAAAATTATTCTCTAAGAGAAATGGTCTAAAAAGAGAAGGAAAGAGAAGAGGAAGGAAGCAAGCAAGCAAAGAGAAAAAAGCAAAGGTATACATTATTCCTAATCACATTGCACAAAAAGACAACAGTTATTAAAGTTGTAGAAACATTTCTGCATGCTTTTATTAACCTCAGAGAGATTTTTATTATCATTCAATGTGATTAAATTTGTTGAAGATATAAAAATATACTTTTAAATTTATTATAATTTCTGTTGAGACTAGTCTTATCCCTCCAAAAATTAATATGAAATATACATTTCTTATTTGGATTTCAGATAAGAAATTACCAGCACACTTAGTCTGCTGAATACATTTGGTTAGTAAATCTAAGATCCTGCCTCACTTCAGTACCCTCTTCTTACTGAAATAGGTGATTGGGGGGAAATGGAGGTGGCAAGAACTCAGGCAATCAGAAAACAATATTTATTTATTTGCTCTATATTACACTAGCAATGATCCAAACTGAAGTGCTGTAGGCAAATTACAACTGATATTACACTCAGTTTTCCTTGCTTGCTCTTTCTTCTATTTCCAAGCAAGTAAAGAATCTGCATTTCTTTGCCTTGGAAACTTTTACAGGGCAGAAGGCAAGAAGTATATGAAGATTATGGGGTTTTTTTAAATCCATTTTTAAATACATAAGTTTTGTTTATAAAAATAGTACTGTAATTGAGAACAGCAATTTCTGCCTCACCCCTTCATATCTATGATTTTTACTCCCCAGAGGCACACCTATGCAACTCATTCATCTGTTTGTTCTTGCATGTTTCATTGTATTTCTGATTACTGTTATAGCCTATTGCCATTTCTGGGTATTTCTATTCATAAAACAGTTGACTGCCTACCATGAAAGATGAGAATGTAACCTTCTTATTCAATGTCCTCTTACCCATTCCGCTCACGTTATACTCTTCCCAATCCTCTTGTGTCTCAATTTCTGGTGCAGTATTTACTGATTACATTTTTATGGGTATAAGTGTTAATTAAAGTGATTCCCATCATTTACTATGATTACATTTCCCTTTTAGGACAACATTTTGGTTTTCTTGATGCTAATAATTAACTCATCTGGGTGTGGGTGCATTGTCTTTCTACCTGTTGCTGATTGATTAACCCAGACTTTCTAAGATAACTATAAAACTCCTCAAAATGTTCAAATACGTAGTTAGGTAAACTACCAATTCCATTCTTTTTTCCTTAAACTCACTGTTCCTGAAACACTCTTGTCTTCTACTTGCAGTTTAAATGTCTTGTTTTT